CATGTCTCTTCTACATCAACATGTGTCCCCTCTTCTCCATGTCTCTTCTACATCAACATGTGTCCCCTCTTCTTCATGTCTCTTCTACATCAACATGTGTCCCCTCTTCTTCATGTCTCTTCTACATCAACATGTGTCCCCTCTTCTCCATGTCTCTTCTACATCAACATGTGTCCCCTCTTCTTCATGTCTCTTCTACATCAACATGTGTCCCCTCTTCTTCATGTCTCTTCTACATCAACATGTGTCCCCTCTTCTCCATGTCTCTTCTACATCAACATGTGTCCCCTCTGTGGAAAGTCCCCTCTTCTCCATGTCTCTTCTACATCAACATGTGTCCCCTCTTCTTCATGTCTCTTCTACATCAACATGTGTCCCCTCTTCTCCATGTCTCTTCTACATCAACATGTGTCCCCTCTGTGGAAAGAGACTCTGAAAGTTTCAGGAACAAAGATTCTCTCTCTTTTTGTTGATCCATTTCTATAAAAACCTGTCTGAAAATGAGCTGATCAGATTTTGGCCACTTTATGATGTCATAACGATGTTTTGTCTGTGTAACCATTAGCCAATCACCAACCAACTGAATCTCCTCCTAGAGCACCATTGTGTTCTTTTTAACCAAATCTCTCTCAGAGGGGCGTGGGGAGGGGCTTCTTATTTTCCTCTAAAGTAACAGACAGAGAATCAGCACTTTGGAAACAGGGCTGAAACAGAGGGGATTATGGGTAATGCTGCAATGATCTGTTTAGTGTTTGGAGCCAATCAGAGACATGTTCTGTATGTATCTGAGTATAATAGGGGACCTTTAAGGGAGGAGAGCTCAGAGAGAAGCCGCGATATAAAGGAGAAAAGTGACTTACTGTTACTGTCTTTGCGTCCCTGTTAGTGAAGAACAAGTCTCCTCCATCAAAGTTGTCATTCAGGTAGAGAAGGGCACTGTGAGAGAAACAGGATTAAAGCATTGTTATTAAGGGTAAAGTGGCCCTGTTGGGCTTTTTGTGGTCTTCCCGTTCCAGTTGAGTGTTAAATAGGTTTTTGTGCATGTAAATAGTCTGCGAAGGCTAAAATCCCAAAGTTCCCTCCAAAGAAAGTTTCTGTTCCACACTCCCCCCCTGCCTGAAACGCCTCGATTGGACCTTTGTTTACTTCTGTAACATAATGGCATTCGGATCTATGCATTGGGATATATAATTTTTTAAATCCTCTGGAGCAGAGAGAGGAGCTGTGGATTATTGTTATTGATTAATGCATCAGTGTTTCTTTGGGTCAAAAACACTAAACTCACAACTTACATCGAAAGCGTTTAGTTTATTTAATAAAAGAGCACATGTTCGATGTGAAGAGTGACAGTAGTTATAGATTATTTGCAATTTGGTGCTGTATATATATTAAAAAAAATTATTAAAAAAAGATTATTATTTTTTTTCCTTTTTTTTAACACCTTGAATTTCAGGGGAGCGCTCCAAATACATTGGATAGGCTAAGGGGCGGGACATTTCTAAGCGGTTGACCAATCAGAGCAGACTGGGCTCTGGTTTCAGACAGAGGGTGAAAAGAGGTGCTGCAGCACAGGCAGTATGAGAACAATAAAGAGCTTTTTGAACATTAAAGCATGGAGACATGTCACAGTAGAGAGAGACACGGAATACAAATATGCAAGTAGCAGAATATGTCCTCTTTAAGAACCTTTATGGGCCTTTACCTTTATTTCATCAGAACTAAAGAGTTCTGATGAACTAAGTACGGCAAAGCGTCTATTGGTGTACAAATGGTTATTATTTTTGGGGTGAAAGAAATATTAATTTCCTGCGCACCTGAGGTCTCTGTGTATGAACGCCGGCGGTTCTCTCCAGCACTGATTGGTCTCCGGCTCAAGCAGACAGTTGTCGACGTGGACAGGATGAGACAGGTCCAGCCTGCCCTCCTGATCACCTGAGGACACAAAACATTACAAATAAATGATTTGACTCCTGAAAAACGCATTTAAGTTAACCGTATGAACATTTCTGGAAAACCCTGCAATTGCCAGCCCGATTACATTTCATCAAGCAAGTAACAATGCTCAAGAAAGATGTTATTGGTAATGTTGGTGTTGTTATGGGTAATGTTGGTGTTACCTGCGATAGAGAAAACATCAGACAAAACAATTTTAAACCAGGAAAACGCATTTAAGTTCACCGTATGAACAATTCTGTGAAACCCTGTAGTTGTGTTTGTGCCAAATGGATAACCCTATCACATTTCCATCAGCTAGTAATGATGAGAGAGATATCATACATGTCGATAATGTTGGTGTTACCTGCGATAGCGCTGCGGCAGACCAGGTGTGCGAAGGAGGTGTAGAGGGTGGAGGGGCTCCTGAAGTACGAGTGCAGCAGGACCTTCACTCTCTCTCCCAGCTCGTAAAACAGCCGGGCGTCTGTCTGGTTCACCATATCATCCTGAGCCAACTGGGAGACAAGATTATGTTGAAAAAATGGCAGCTTTATGAATGATGTTCAAGCATGAGATCCCAAGTGCACACTAATATATGATGATTCTTAGTTATTTCATTTATTCACATTTAGTTAGTTCATTTTGAGTAGAGGTTATTCAGGTTTGCTCTAAAACACGTCATGTTTTTGAAGGTTTGGTAAATTTTTCTAGTTTATTTAAAGGGGTCAGGGGTTAAATTCATGCAAAATGCACTTTTTGATGTCTTTTATACATAAATATCAGAAACGTTGCTATAGATGAGAGTAACACCTACGTCACTTCCGGGCAAAAATTACGGCTCCGCCCACTTTTGGGGGAAAACAACGCTGTCATTTGAATGGCGGTCAATACAAATTCTGAAGTTTTGCCAATCCGATCAGACATTTTTGAAAACCGTGGATTTTTGGATCTTCAAAGAGCCCGATTACGACGGCCAGTCAGGCAAACAATTACATGAAATCATTTGAAATCGACAATCGGTCTCGATATATGGTTAAATTAAAATCAGTAGGCGAGGCGGTAATTTTAACCAGCTGTTACTCTCATGAGCGAGGCGGAAAATAAGTTTTATCTGCCAAAAAGCTGCTGTGTCGTTTATTGCACCTCAAACATTAAAACAAATCCAGAGTTCAGTGTTTCTGTACTTCCTCTGAGAACAAAGGACAGTAAAAGAAGAGCTCTGTGGCTTCAGGCTCGATCGCCATTCAAATGACAGCGTTGATTCCCCCAAAAGTGGGCGGGGCCGTAAAGTGACGTAGATGTTACTCTCATCTATGAAAATCGATAGCCTACTGCTATATTTAACCATATATCGAGCCCGATCGTCGATTTCGAATGGCTTAATGCAATTGTTTGCCTGTCTGGCCATTGTAACCGGGCTCTTTGAAGATCCAAAAATCCACGGTTTTCTTACATTTCTGATCGGATTGGCAAAAACTTCAGAATTTGTATCGACCGCCATTCAAAATGACAGCTTTGTTTCCCCCAAAAGTGGGCGGAGCCGTACTTTTTGCCCGGAAGTGGCGCATTTGTCAATTATTTGTCGGTGACTTTGTAGGATGTGCTGTACGGTAATGTTTAGTTTACATAAAGAATTGTCTGGTGTTTCCCTGGTCCTTATTCTAAAAGGCAATAAAAAGCACTTTTAAGAAAACAACAACAAGTCATATTTCATCTCTCATTGCTTCCTGTTCTCCCACCTTCACAGCCCTGAGGACGGTCAGACCCTCGAACGTCTCGTGAGGCGTGTGCGGAGATCGTCGCCCCCGGTAACCATCTCCGGAAGATGTTGCAGCCTATCAGAGATGAGAGAAAACGACAGATGAGTGTTCCTGTTTCTATCTAAGAGATCTTATATATATATATGTAGATAAGTAATATAACCACACTGTATACATCTGTTCATATCATTATACTATCACTATACTGTCAATACTGTTTATACTGTACATACTTTATCTGTTTATATCCTATTTATAATTATTAATTCATTTATTTATATCATAGACACTTGCACTGCTATTTAGCACTTCTGGTCAGACGCCAAACACCGTTTTGTTACTAGTACCTGTACGACGTAATGACAACAAAGTTGAATCCAAAAAGAAAAAAGAAAACGAATCTAAAAACAACATGGACGTAATTACTGTTGCTAGCTGCAGCATCTTTTCACACTCCTTCTCAGTCATGACGTCGTCCAGAACTACGCGATTCGTCCCGTTTAAAACCGTGTCGTCCATGGTGATGGTCACGCCCACCTGAGGAACCGGACCCCCTGGAGAGAAGACCAGTAAGAAAGGATGAGAGAGGAAACTTTAACTGTTTAACTCAGTGCTTCTCAAAGTGTGGTGCGCCCCCTAGTGGTCCGTGAGTATATTGGTAACATTTCACATTTGAAATAAATAAATACATTTCAGTTTTCCGCACTCTCTCCCCTCTTCTTCATGTCTCTTCTACATCAACATGTGTCCCCTCTTCT